TCATAATCTTCGTTTATTCTTTTAGCAACTCTGTTAAGAACACCTTTTACTATTGCAAAATTTATATCTCTTAATTGGGCAAATAATTTATCGCCAGAATTGAAAGCATTTTTTTTTTTTGACTGAGGTTGAATAGGAGGTTGTAACTGATAAGGAGTGCAAGTAGTTGTAGACATTACTGTAGTTGCTTGCACAGGTCCCACAATCGAAGAATCCACTTCTACATGTAAAGCTTTGATACCAAATAATTCGTCTATCAATCCTTCATAGGTCAATTGAGTACATAAAGTTGTTATGAGGTCAATCGATCTATCGATGATGATAAGTGAATCTACACTTTGAGAGATCAATAATGAAGATGATGGATCATCTACAGCAACCTCATGACACATACGAATGAGCATATTAGCAAGATGCTAAATCAAAAAGAATATTTATAAGTAACTTTTAGTAGATCAATAGCTAGATTCATATATAATAATTCAAATCTTGGCACCAACTCTCTTGCCTATTATTCTTGGAAATAGGCCAAAAGATGTCTGTAATTTCATGAGCATTTTCGTCATGTAATAAATTGAGGTATAATCACTATTCTTTTTATTTCTATGTAAAAATAATTATTAAATTTGATTGATATTAGCCATATTAAAATTGATTAGAGTTAAAAAAAAGGATACCAAATAAAATTCTTTAAAGTGTTATCTAATTCCAAAGATAATAAATCATCTTCAAAAAGTATTAGATCTTGGTAATACTCGTTAATTGTGATCTGTAAAATCATTAGTCAAGGATATATTTTGAACTGATAATTCATCAAGGATATCATCAAAGATCCTAGCTTTCTCTAAAACTTTTTGACAGATCAATTGTTCGACGTGGAGAAAAAAAGAGAGTATATTCATACTTTTTAGCATTGGGATTCATTTTGGTAATGCTGGGTGTGTTCTGGAAAGTGGCCAAAGTATCACAAATTTAATATTTTAATCAATTAATGAAAACTGAACATGAAATTTCATTTATACTAGCTATATATTTTATACAAAGTGTTTGTGGTTTGTAAATATAAATTAAAGCTTCGAATTTCGGCTCTTGTTGAAAATAATGAACTTTTTCAACACTATGTTCCTTCGATAAATAGTTAAATCACACATCGTTATTTCATTCACTGCTCTAATTTATTGATTCTAATCAAAATCAATTTATAAATACCTTTAAAAGTGAAAATTCTGCAGTAAGACTCAAAGGTACACTTATGTTGGGATCCAAAACTAGGCCTTTCATTTTTTAATTTACATGAATGTGGTTTAGTAGAAAAGAAATCATTTTATACTAAATTATGGGTTGAACTTTTTTACTAAACAGCATTAAGCATTAATGTTTTACACAGATAAAAGAATGCATACAGACTCAAGCACATTCTTTAAATCTTTTTTCACAATTCTCTTAGAGTTGTAATATTTAAAGAATTGTCACTTGGCGTGATGTCAGCAAAATAAACTGTCAGTGAACCCAAAACAAGAGTTACTGTTACTACATCATACTAATTTTTATAATAAGAAAATATTGGACAGTTTGAACTAATCTGAACTCACCCAAAAATTGTTCAAAGTCAATGAGGTTTTGTTTTGAACAAGTCCAAAAAACTATCAGTCAAAATTTATAGCAACTTATAAATAGTTTTATATGATCAGAGATTCAGATTTGATGATAGAATTAAATTAAGTTATATCGAATCGAATCGAACCAAATCGAAAGCAAATGTATCAATATACAAAAAAAAAAAAATTTTAACACAATTTAAAATTTATTGTCGATTTCAAGTAACTTTGATCAAATGTTTTTTTTATTAACTTTTA